CCTGGGAAGACAGAGGTAGAATAATGAGTTCTAGGCAGTCTGGGCTGCATAAATAATGGGATTCTGGCCAGCCTAGGGTAGATAGTAAGACTTTGTCTCGAAATAACACTAGCAGCAGCAACAACAATCACTACCACCATCACCACTAGCATAGTAATTTCAGTCTAGTCCTGACACACGGTGGGTCCTTACCTCCTGACTGGTAAAGTACAGAGCCTGTTTCCATGTATTTTCATAAGAGGTTGGAAAAATAAAAGAGATCATGGCTGTAAAATATCTGAAAGCATGATGCAGATGTTCAGTACATGAATTCTCTGACGTCTTCTATAGAAAGACCGCTGGACCTGCCAATAAATTTGCTTCAAGCAGTTGTTAAATGCCAGGGATTATCGTAGATACTGGAACTACCATTATTTAGACTGATAATAAATAATCCATGGGCTGGGTATTGGTGCTAAACATACAAATGCATATGTCTTCTGATTATACAGAAAATAAGGTGAGTATTATTATGGGTTGAATATTTGTGGCCTGCTCCCCAAATGCCTATGCTGAATTTCTATCCTTCAGTGGGATGGTATCAGTAGGCGGGGCCTATGGGAAGTAGTTAGGTCATGCAGGTGCCCTCATGGATAGTATTAGCATTTTCATAACAAGCGAGGGGAGAGCTTGTTCTTGCTTAAAAAAAAAAAAAAGACAGACATTGATCCATAAACCAAGAAACTGACCCCTACCACATACAGGATGGACCAAGACCTTGACATTAGACATTCAAACAGATGTGTGCTGTTTAAACAACCCAGTGCCTGAGATCTTTGTTCTTGGCTGAGATGGCTGAACCAGCAGGGTTGTACAATAAAGAGTAACTACGGAACGAAAGGGGAGAAATCCCACAGCATAGTTAAGGAAGCTTTTACTGTTAAGGAAGGATTATCTGAGAAGCTAGCATTCATACCTAAAACCCGGAAGACAACAGTGCATCCAGCCTGCTTACCCAGGGCAGGCATACACCTAGTGATTGGAAGTTACAGAGAAAGCCAGTGGGACTGGGAGGAACACAGGGCAGGGGATAAGGTTCTCATGGGCAGGGCCCAGATCAAGGATCTCTGGCTACATCTGGCATTTAACAGGAAGCCACTAGTGTGTGTGAAGTGCCAGAGCTCCTTAATTAGATTTCCTTAAGGGCCAGACATGGAGCCATCATGAGGTATTTGAGAAATGGAAATACTTGGACTCAACTTGCACCAAGGATGCCCACAAAACGATCATAAGTTCATCGGGCTCTAGAACCAGGGTTAGACGCGATGTGATAGCCAGAGTGGGATGTGACATGAAGCCAGTGTCCGCAGAATACTCTTTAGACTGTAGTCTACAAAACAGCAAGGAAGAAAGAAAGAACTGACTTCATCGTGAAAGTGGCAGAAGACGGTAAAAGAAGTAGGGTGGGATATGTGATTCGGTTGATAGAATGCTTACCTAGAATTCACAAAGCACCTCCTAAATTGAGATTAGGTTCTCCCAAACCAGAACCCCCTGTGACTCCAGGACTGAGTGTGGGTGCTAACAAAAGTAGTAGAATCAAGGCCATCTTTGGCTACGTAGCAAGTTCAAAGCCAGGCTGAAATTCATCAGATCCTGTTTCAGGAAAGAAGAAAGAAAAGAGGAGGAGGAGGGGAAAAAACCTTTACAAACTTGGAGTAGCTCCATATTCAAAGATGCTGGCTGGAAAGATCGTGAAGTATTATTCACCGAGGAAACAAGCGCCCACTGTCATCCGCCTGGGGCCTGTCCTAGCCTCATACTGGGGGCCCCCAGCCTAAAGCATTCTGATCCCCATGACAAGGTGAAATAAATGCAGAGAGCGATGGTAAACACCAAAAACTTCTGAGAAGACCTCTGCTCTAAGCAATCGAAGCAGTAAAACCCTGTTGCTCCGGAGACAGAGCAAAACTCTCCTGCAGGGAAAGTCATGATGGATAGATGGAGGGCTTCCTTTCCATAAACAGAAAGAGACAAAAGTCAAAGACAGTGACATAAGGGCATTGGTTAAGTTCTCTAGCCGCTGAGGTCACCTTCCAAACAGACACCACTTACTGGAGGGTATGCTGCATTGAGCTCAAAGTTTCCTTAGTCCAGAACTCAGGGGAAGGCAGGGAGGCAGGACTGTGAGGTACTGCCACCATCTACAGGCAAAAAGGACCAGGAGGTTGAGGCTGCAGCTGGAACCAGGGGAGGAGTTAACCTTTAAAGGCCCTGGTTTGATGCCTGGTGACTTTTTTTTCCTAGCCGTCAATCCTGACCTTCTACCACGACTCCAAGCTGAGAAGTGAGGGTTCAAAACATCTCAGATCCAAACCAGAACATAAGGTGATTGTGGCATTCAGTGCAGAAAGGGACAGTAAAGTTAAGATGGTCGCTTTCTATCTGGGGCCAGGGATACGGCTCAGTTCTAGAGCGCTTGCCTACCTTGTATGGGGTCCTGGGTTTGATCCCCAGCTCCCTGTAAACTACAACCGAGCAGGACTGCAATCTCAGCACTGGGGAAGGTCAAGAGTTCAGGGTCACCCTTGGCTACCTAGTGTTCCCGGTGGGGCACAAGAGACCCTGTCACAAACAAACCAAAAGGAAGGGAGCTAGCAAAGTGGCCTGGCAGATAATATCCTTCGCCGAATAGCAGAAGACCAGAGTTCAGGTCACAGCACCCTCATAGAGGCTCTATGTGATCCATGTGCCTATCATCCCGGCACTGAGGGAGCAGAGACAAGAGGATCCCTGGGGTTTGCTAGCTGCTATCCTTGATGGAAAATGGAAGCTCCGGATTCAAGGAGAAATCCAATCACAAGGGACTATTGCAGGAGGGATAGAGGAACGTACCCAACGCCCCCCTCTGGTACACACCCATACACACATCTATGTGCAAGATACCACGCGAACACACACACACACACACACAGCCCGAGTTTCTTTTTCGGTTGTATAAAAAAAAAAAAAAAAAAAACACCCTGACAAAAGCAATTTAGGAAGACAGAGATTATTTTGGCTTATAGTTCCAGGTTGTAGTTCATAGAAGTAAGAGCTACAGGGAGCTTGTACTGCTCCGGGGCCACGTGAGAACCATCATACACCTCCAGAGGAGACAGGACTATTAACCAAACCAACTATTAGCTTATAAAAACAAGAGAAAGTTAGGCCAGCCACTCTTCAGGCACATAAAGAGTTGGCTAATTAACCGGTGGTCAATGCCCAGGAAAGTGATTCGACAGTTAATTCCAAGAGACAGGCTGAAAGCAATTGAGTTACCAGTCGGCTTGGCTAGCTGGGCGGAGCAAGGTCTTCAGCTGCCATGTGAATCCACTGCTTTCCTCCTCAAGGGAATTGTGTTTTCAGCCAAGTCCTTCTTCAAGTGAAGAGGTGCATGCTCAGAATTGAAGGAGCGTGCCAAACATAGTTTATACTGGGTAGTCATTGTGGAAGTAAAATAGAAAACCCTTCTTTGAGCCAAAAGTTTCTTAGGAAACGAAAATCTCAGCCTCAGCTGGGAAACAAGGGCTTGTTCTCTGGAACGCAAGGTAGCTCTCTCACTGGGCTCCTTGGGTTCTGTATCCATTTGTAGGAAGGGACCCTAACCATAGCTACTTTAGCCAAGGAGGCTGGCAGCATTTGGAGCACAGGACCTAGTGAGAAGGGTTCTTCAAATGGGGGAGGGGGAGAGTCAGACAATTATTCTAGAGCAGGGATACACTGCTCTCTGCTTTTGGGGGGCCATGCTTAGCTGCCTACTCCTCCTTTAAAAGTGTGCGAAGCAATGTCAGAGTCACAGGCTGGACTCCAGACAGGCGGCGATCTACACGTTGCCACTGCTGCCCGGGGTTTACAGCACCAGGCAAGGAAGGATACGATGCAGGAGGATGGAGGCATTGAAAGGATGATTGAAAGATAAAATCAACATCTTTTATTTGTTTTTGTTTTTCGAGACAGGGTTTTTCTCTGTAGCTTTGGAGCCTGTCCTGGAACTCCCTCTGTAGACCAGGTTGGCCCTGAACTCACACAGAGATCCGCCTGCCTCTGCCTCCCGAGTGCTGGGATTAAAGGCTTGCGTTCCCACCTCCCGGCCTTTCCAATCTTTGAAATCTTCTCATCATCCAAGATCAACATCCTCTGTGAAATGTTTGTAGAGGACGGAACAAAACTGTGCTAGATAAAGATGCTTGAAACAGAAAATCACATTTGTGGGTAATATACAGTGGGTTACAGATTTAAGCAGGGACCAAGTGAGGAGGACCAGGGGAAGAAGGGCTGAAAAGTGCATTAACCAAAGCCAAGGCTGTATGAAGAACCTTTATGGAAGCCAACTGCTCTGTATGCTAGTTAAGAACACATGTTTTTTAAGAAGGAACTTGAACACAGGCTCCCTTTACTTGTGTGCAATGCTTTCCACTAGAATGAAAATCTCAGCACCAGGCACGAGATATTTCCCTATAAGTTATTAGCCTGGGAGGCCCCCCAAAGGCCCTAAAAGAGCACAGGTTATTGACATTGCTCCTGGCTGTCCACGGTAGCTAGACAGCAAGCGCGATGGCTGAAGACACAATACACTTGGTTTTCAGGACAGAGAGAAAGGAAGCCGGAACGAAGGAGAAGTCACCACTACACTTACCCAGTGGTAGCATCGCCATGTTATCATACCAACCTACTGAGCATGGCGTGCCTACTGGTGCAACAGAAGCATGGCCGCTGCGGGGAAAAAACTGATTCCCGATTGAATGGTCCGCCAGTTTAGGAGGATTCTCCTGCCTTTGCATGCAGAGTGTTAGAACTACAGGTGTGTGACATTATGTTCTACAGATTTGACTTTTTCTGGGGTGGGGGTAGGTAAGACATGGGGGGAAAATAAAGAAATGTGGAAATCAAGAAAAAAAAAAGCACAACCAATGAATGCTTCCCCAAGAAGCCAGAAAAGACAGAAGAGAGTGGACAGGGAGCTGATCAATCAATCGTACCTTCATCCCTGCGGCGGCTGCAGGTCCACTGGGGTCCACAGCCTGGATGTGGCATGGCTTGCTTCCTCGCACCACAAAGCCCCAGCCAACTGCATCACCAACAATCTAGAGAGGAAAGCCACAATTAGCAAGCAGCAGACTGTCCCTGGCAATTTGCCTGTCTTCCCAAGAAAACAAAGTCTGACCCAGGATTAACAATGAGTCTTGACATATTTTTTTTTCTTTATTTCATCTCTACCATGTCAGGGGAATGAAGATGTAGTGGACACAGATAACCTGTTTGGACTGGGGAGGTTACTTCCCGGTAAACAGCTGGCAACATGCCTCTTCCTTGGGCTGACAGCCAACTTCATATACATCCCAGCAGAAGTCTGAGAAGACCTTAAGAACATTGCTGCTCCTTCTCTCTCCATCCAATGTCTACCTCAGCATGACCTTTCCTTTATATCCAAATGACAGACTTCGACCTGGCTTACATCGAAGTGTAGAAGAACAGTTTAAACTACTAACGGAGAGGCAGGAAGAGTCTTGGCTTCTTTTGAAAGACAGTTTTCCGTACCGAGGAAACCAAGTGAGAAAGCAGATAAAGCTCACTCATAAGTCGCAAACAGACTCTGGTCCAAACATTGTTTAGCACTGACGCATATTTTTTCCTACAGAATCAGAACTGGCAGGATGGCTCCGGAGGCATCCTTAGCACATGTGCCAATGATCATCCTCGAAGTCAAGGATTAGTGATACTGGCGCTAACAGAAAGAAAAACAAATGTTCTCAAAACAGCGCCCTCTCAACAGCTGGAGATTGGGAAAAAGCAAGAGGGCAAGTAGGAACTCAGGTGGAATTTCTTAAGACGACCGGGGACTTCTGTGGTTTCAGGATTCACTACTATGAATTTAATATATCTAATTTCACTTTCAAATACAGTGTGCCTGCCTTTCCCCTTGATACAGACGTATTATAACATTCTTACATTGGGAGGGGCCCTCAGCAAGAGTCTGGGGTGTGAATGAATGTGTGGGGTGTGAATGAATGTCTCTTCCTTGAGGCAATAACAGAAGTTGGGAAACAGAGTAAGGGGCGGGGGATGTTCTTCAAAAGTTTATTCATGTGGATATTGTAGATTGAGAGAGGCAAGCAAGCACAATAGGGGAGATGGTACCGATAAGATCATGTGACTGGGCCTGGGGATGTCTCTTAATAGAGCACTTGCCTGGCATGCAAGAGGCTCTGGGTTTGAACCCCACAACTGCACGAAACCAATGTGGTCTTGCAGTCCTGCTACTTCAGAGGTGGAGGCTGGAGGATCAGAGATTCAAAGTCCTCCTTGGCTACACATAATTTGATATCTGTGTGAGATCCTTCAGAAAAATAACTTAGATTCTGTTCAAATATAATCAGTAGGGTATGGGGATGGCAGAAAGAAGGTTGTGGGAACACTAAGAAAGGGCGAGTCAGATACAAGACTCAACGCAGGACTCCCGAGTCAGGGGGCTATACACCTCAATACACACTGGCTACTCTTTCCTTTCTTCTCCTTCTTAGGATTCTCTAAACAGTTTAACGATTTTCACAATTAACTGTAAAGAAGAAATTTTTTGTACTATTATCTGTCTTATAAGATATAATGATATATAATAATTATATTAGAACAATTGTATAGTAGATGTTTAAAAGGACACATCAAAAAGAATTTAAAATGTCATTAACAAATCAAGGGATTTTAAAAAACAATTTATTTTTATTTTATATACATTGGTGTTCTGCCTGCATGTATTTCTGTGTATGGGTGTCAGATCCCTTAGAACCAGAGCTACAGACAGTTGTGAGATGCCATGTGGGTGCTGGGAACTGAACTCAGGTCCTTTGGAAGAGCAGTCAGTGCTCTCAACTGCTGCGCTATTTCTTTGGCCTCTCAAGGGAGGTTTTAATGCATTTCAATGCATTGGAGTTCAGAAAGTCTACAACTACAACCATGTAAAAAACAAATGCACAGATGGGTACATGTAAAGACGTGTGTTATCACCACACTTAGGATTCAGAGGCAGGAGGATCCCTGTGAGTTCAAGGCCTGCCAGGTCTACATAGTGAGCTCCAGACCATCCAGGGCTACGTAGTAACCTATGAGGTCTTCATCTCAAAAAAAAAAAAAAAAAAAAAAAAAAAAGGAAGGGGAGTTAGAGAAAAGTGTTAAAGTGTTCCCTCTCGTCCCCTAAGCCACACGCTGACAGGTGGGTGTGCCCAGGAGCCAGACTTACCGTGAATGTCTTCCTGGCATACGGAGCTCCAGGGGTCAAGAGTTCCTCAGAAGTGACAGGTCTCTTCAGCACTAAGAGACAGACATAGGGTCAGAGAAGACGCAGCTCTAAGTCCTTCTCCTGGTCATTTAGCAGGGATTTCCTGAATGCTGCCTCTCAACTGCTAACCAGTAAAAGTGGCAAAGACCTCCGCCTCACGGTTATCCTTTAGCTGAGCAGACAGGAGGTACCAGCCAAGGACTGAAGCCTAACTTTTAGAACCACGGGGATACAAGTGAGAGAAAAGAAACTAAGATGCCTTGGGAGGGGGCAAAGGGAGGAATGGAGTCTTCCTCTAAAGGAAAAGGGTTCACTTCTAGTTCTCCCAGCTAAAGCCTGGGTAGTAAAACAGGGATCAAGTCCAGGCATGGGTGCCAGGGTCCATTTCTTAGCAACCATATCACTGGCTTCCTAGGCTAGGCCATCTCAGAAACTGTGAACAGTAACAGTGTCCAGCGTTGTCTGTCTGTCCTCAGCTCTCTGATGTTGTTTACCAAGGCAACAGAGACAGCTGCATGGCACCCCCCTAGTAATGAACTCTCCATCCATCCTCTAGCAATGAATTTCCCTGTCCATTCTTTGATCATTTGGAGCTGGATAGGGGGTTGTCCTAGCCTCCCAGGACAGCTAGTGGGTACTGGGCACAAGGACCAAGCATCCTAACATGGGGACATGCACAGCAGAGATTTAAGTGCCACAGAGAAATGAAGGCCAGGGTCCAATCTGGACAAGTACCCGCCCCCCCCCCAGCTCCCTTTGCCAGTGGCATTCATTCAGAGGTCAGACACTGGTCCCCAACAAGTGTGCAGCAGCATGGAGCAGACCTGCAGGATCCCCAGGCAGCTGGGCCAAATTGCTGGGTAAGCCCCAGGCTTAAGCAGCCCCCTCCTAGGGAAGAGTCAAGAAATGCCTCTTGCGCAGGGAACAGGTGGTTGGGATTATTACTTTTGCTTTTCAGAAAGCCTTGAAAAGGAATCAGTGTTTGCTAAGGATGAAGGAGTAGGTCAAATATCAAGAGGAGAAGCGAAATGTCTCGGGAGACAGAGAGGAGCTAGGAAAAGCAGTGAGCGTGTGAAGGTTGAGATCGTATTGCTTAGTAGACAAGTTTCTCTCCATGCCTGTGACTCCTCAGGGGGTTAGAAAAATTGATGGTATTTTTGGCAGCTTGGCTGGCTGTTTATTTTAATGTATTTTTTTTTCTTGTGTCGGGAAACAGAAACTTTGAGAGCCAGGGAATTATCCTTAAAGATTCCCCTCTTATCACCGCGATGCGGATTATGGCGGCAGCCATGGCTTTGTTCTATCTACTCCTAAATATATATCATTCTAATATATAGAGATGGCTAATATTTTTATTTATTAAAATAAAGTGTGTGTGTCTGTGAGAGAGAGAGACAGAGACAGACACGCAGACTATGATATGGCATACGTGTAGAGATCACAGATTTTTGTGGGGCCGGCTCTTTTCTTCCATGTTTATGTAGGTTCTGAGGATGCTGGGGGTTGAACTCGGGTTGTCGGGGTTGCATGGCAAGCACTTTTATGTTCTAAGCCATCTCGCCAGCCTTACGACGGGGTTCAAAGTCCTCATATGGAGGTTGATGAATAGGTTTTAAAACTGCAAAACACCCATGAATTCCAGTGGGCAGGCTTATGTATTCCTGTCCTTTCTCCTTATGAGTGTCGGGCATTGAAACCAAGCGTGGTGGCACATGACAGTTATCCCAGTATCCAGCAGGGAGACTGTAGCAAGTTCAAGGCCAGCCTGGGCTACATAATGAATACCAGACATACAGGTCTAACACCCTGTCTTAGAAAACAAAAGGAAGGAAGGAAGGAAGGAGGGAAGGAAGGAGGGAAGGAGGGAGGGAGGGAAGGAAGGAAGGAGGGAAGGAAGGAGGGAAGGAAGGAGGGAGGGAAGGAAGGAGGAAAGGAAGGGAGGAAGGAAGGAAGGAAGGGAGGGAGGGAGGGAGGGAGGGAGGAAGGAAGGAAGGAAGGAAGGAAGGAAGGAAGGAAGGAAGGAAGGAAGGAAGGAAGGAAGGAAGGAAGGGCGCACAGCACAAGGCCCACATAGATCCTTGCTTCATGGTCTGGGAACGCAGTTCTTTCTCCGCTGCATTTGCACAGTGCTGAGGAGGTGCTGAGGCCCTTTCAAGAGTCAAGGACCTCCTGCCTCTCAGCTGCTGACCCCAGCTGCTGGTGTTGCACAGTCCTCAGCTGACGCGAGAGCCATCTCCCTAAAGGCAACTGTCTTCAGGAAAGACATCCTTCCTTTCAGGGGAACCAATCTCGAATAACTGGTCAACAAGAATGTTTGACTGGGTTCTCTCAGGGCTACTCTTCAAGGCATCCCGGCGCAGGACTGCCTCGCTGGTCAACAGTAGGCTTCCATGGGCTATTCTTTCCCAGCCGTTCAACAGATGGTAACTCAACTCCACTGTGGTAAGGTTCCTGCCCATGGGCCCAAGCCTCCGCAGACAGGGGCATGGGCACCCTTTTCCAACTCACCAGACTTGGGGTTGCAGAGCACCGGGGGGCTGCTGCTGAGCGTCGGGCTGCTGCTGAAGTAGCCACTGCTGCCACAGCTGCTCATGCTGCTCCTCCGCACGGCGGACACGATCTTGATCTCCTTGCTGGGGCTGACTGCAGAGGGGAAGCAAACACGGTCACTGAGCAGGCGGGCTTAGGACCTAAAACTCCTGGGTCCTCAGCTACAGGGTAAGAATTCCCTGTCCAGTTTGCTCACACAGTCACGGATGGCATAAATCAGGCCATCTTCGGTTTCTTGGACTGTAAAATGAAATAATATTACTCCACAGGGTGGCTGTGAGGGAAAGATCGTATAATGTATATGAACATGAACATCTTTCTCCCTCTCTCTCTTTCTTTTCAAATTAGGGCTCATTAACGGAGCCTGGGCTAGCCTCAACCGCCAGGTTCCTGGAATTATAGGGCACACCACTGTGTCTAGTTTACAAGATTATTTTGTCTTGGGGTATTCGAGTGTATATGTACATATTTGTGTGTATGTTGTATGTACATATGCACATGTGTATTCATTCTTGCGTGTAGAGGTCAGACATCAATATCCAGAGTCTTCCCCAGCTGATCTCCACCTTACAGTCTGGGACCTGATTTTTCTCATTGAACCTGGAGCTTGACAATTAGTATAGATTGACCAGCAAGGTCCAGTTATCCTGCCTTTGTCTCCCTAGCACTGGGATTATAGAGACATGACAACATACCTTTTTATCTTTTTATTTTTTTAATCTTAACATACCCTTCATCTGAGTGCTGTGAATCTAAATGCAGGTCATCATGGTTTATCAGGGCCATCTCCTCAGCTGCTATAGGACACGAATCCAAGAACTAGCAAACCCAAAGTTTTCCCTTCCTGGGTATAAATCCAGTGCCTATCACATAATGTGATACTTCCTCCCCAGGGGTAGTAAATGACTCCTGATTTAATGACAGCCACCATTGGGAAGCATGGAAAACCACGCTTAAACCGGCGCACCCTGAGGCTTTCAAACGGTTACGTGAGACAGAGTCTTCTTCAGTTTTCAGGTTTGGCTCTGCCTGCCGCAGAGCAGGGTGGCGCTGAAGGCCTGGAGGTGAAGGAGTGTAGGGATGCTGCTCTGGCTACTGACTGGCTTGTGGAAAGCAACCAACCAACGTTGGCTTTCTAGGGGTACACTACTCTTGTCATCTCTAGTGACCCCTATCCCAGAAGCAGGGAGGATGAATTGCTGCTCGGCACCCACAGAAGACCTTGGAGCACAGGCGTGGGCTGCTGACCTTCAGCTGGTTTTTATTTTCTACTTAGCAGCTCTTGCTTTGTTTTCAGACTGAGCCCTGGCTGTGTATGAGGATTTGGGGAAACAGGGGTCTCAGAAGGGGGGGGGGCTAAAGATGAATGGCTGAGAGGAAGCTATGTCCTCCGCTTGTAAGACGCTCCAATGCTCGGGACTGTTCTCTTCATCTGAGAAATGAGGAGAGAAACAACCGTTCCTCGGGGTTATTGTAAGAATTAGGTGAGAAAAGCCACACAGCCAAGCCCGAGGCACAGAAATGTCTCCACGCACAGGGGTACAAGTCCTCATTGTCAGTTCCTGTTCAGAAGCAAGACATGACCAATCTACTTGGTGCCGAGTTAAACTCAGTGCTTATTCTATTTTTCCTCCCTTCCCCCTCTCCTTCCTACGCCCTTCTTTACTTCCTTCCTCTCCTTTCCCATCCCTTCTTTTCCTCTCTTCCTTTGGAGGCAGGATCTCAAGAAGTTACATACCCAAGCCTAACCTTGAGTTTCTGCCTCCACTCCCAATGACTGGAGTGACAAGCTAGTGTCCCACACCCACCTAGAGCTTCTGAACTTTAAGTCAACAAGTTCCTAGTGTCAAAGTCAAGGGAGCTGGAGATCCTCTTAAACAATTCACACTTCTGTAGTTGGTGAGTGTGTGTGTGTCTGTGCGCACGCACACGCGCGTGTACAGAAGCATGCAAGTGAGTGTTTATTCTTAACACAAGGTCTCATGGAACCCAAGTGGACCTAATACACTGTGGCAGAGCACGACTTTGACTTTTTTTCTAATCCTCCTGCCTCCACCTCGTGAGTTCTGGAATATACAGGCATACAACACCGAACCCGAGTGGGGCTGGGGATTAAAACCCTGGGCTTCCTGCATGTGAGCATGCAGTGTACCAAAGGAATCACATCCCCAGCCCCGCTCTGCATTATTTCTCAGAAGACAGGAAAAAAACGCATGCGTGCAAAACGGAGCCGGCCTACCTGACATAAAGCTGGTGGATTTCCGGCTGTCATGGCTCTGCTTCCTCAGGCAGAAGGGGCTGTCATGCGTCTCCTGGGAGGAGGGGGACTTCTCATTGAGCAGCTCCATCAGTCTTCGCCTCCGACGGAAGTTCATTCTGAACTGGTAGAGGAGGTTGCTGTCCACAAATGGGTGCTTGTTGGACACTGGGTTGAAGAAACAAGCCATGAGGAATGCGTGGCATGCTGGCCAGAGAGCAAGACAGCCAGAAGGCTCTAGCCAACAGGGGCAAAAGTCCCAGGAAAGAGGCTACACAGACGCCACGTGCACCTGCGCAGAGCCCACACGCCGTCCCAAATTCTTCTCACATGACAGGCTTTGAAAGAATCTGGCAGCCAGCTCCTCTGTGAAACAGTCCCTGACTTCAGCCCCAACCTGAGTTCTCTTTATGGTGTCTTGTTGGTGTCCTCCCACCATGGGATCACTCACCTTACTGGACACCCTTATTGTTCACGTTCTTTGTTTTTCTACCTAACACACTGGGTTCTCTGGGAGATGATGACAGCTTCATGTAATCACGTGTGTTCAGGATTCTGCACAGTGCGTGTGTCTGCCCCACATCAACACTTCTTCAATTCATTTTTTTTTCTTTTTGAAGCAGATACTTTTGTAGCCCAAGCTGACTTCAAACGCACTGTACACAGTCAAAGATGACCTTGGAATCCTGATCATTCATTCCCCTGTCTCCCGAGAGCTGGGATTAGAGCCTGTGCCCCTGCATGCAGTTTAAGCATGATAGGTAAACAGTCTACCAAACAAGCCACATCTCTGGCCATCAATCATTTGTAAGAACTCTGTGTGTGTGTGTGTGTGTGTGTGTGTGTGTGTGTGTGTGTTTCTCTGTGCTCTGGGGACCAAACCAGATGCTCTATAAGGTACAGCCACAGCCTCAGTTTTCAATTTTCTGTTCTGAAATAATTATCAACCCACAGAGTTTCAACAATAATAATGAGAACACAACCTTACACCATTCCGGTCAGATAAAATATATAAAACAGGGGACTTCTCTGGGTCTGTGGGACATCATGGGGGTTGAAAGGGAGGTATTAGGCAAAATAATGGATTGTTACTCTGACTTGGTGAAATTATCCTAAAATTGCCTGAGACTCATGGCACGATTTTGCAAATACGTGTAAAAAAAAAAAAAACCCACTGAACTGTACGTTTTATTGATTGTTTCTGTGTGTTTGTATGCATGGGCACACGTGTGTTCAAACATTGTATGCATAAAGAGGCCAGAGGTCATTATTAATCAGGTATCACCTGCTACTTTTTAAAAATTATTATTGTGTTTATTTCTTTGTGTATGCAGGGGGAACATGCACAGGCCACATGGTGTGGATGTGGGGGTCAGAGGACAAACTATGGGAGTCAGTTCTCTTTTTCTGCCAGTAGAAGTTGGGGATTAGACCCAGGTCATTGAGCTTGGCGGGCTGGCCAGTGAGCACCTGGATTCACCTGCCTCCGCCTCCCCAGCACTGAGATTTCTACAGCCACCACACCAAGCTTTTAAACCTTAGTGGTCAGGGTTGAATTCAGATGCTGTGACTGCACAACAAATATGTTTATTGACTGAGCTCTCTTTTCAGCCTCAAATTGTACACATTAAATGGATGGATTATATAGCACATGAACTATAGTTCCACAGACTTATTTTTAGAAAACAATAACAGATAAGGCATGGAGGAATATGCCTATCTCCCCACAGTTGGGGACAGAGAGGTAGGAGAAGCTTCAAATTTCTTAAGAAGTTTTATTTCGGGGGCTGGAGAGATGGCTCAGAGGTTAAGGGCATTGCCTGCTCTTCCAAAGGTCCTGAGTTCAATTCCCAGCAACCACGTGGTGGCTCACAACCATCTGTAATGGGGTCTGGTGCCCTCTTCTGGCCTGCAGGCATACACACAGACATAAAATTGTATACATAATAAATAAATAAATTTTTTTTAAAAAAAGTTTTATTTCAAATGCTTTGGAAATTCAATGGAAAAATTACCTGTAGCTTTTGGTAAAAACAAAATTCCTTAAAAACTAACTGAAAAATAATCAATATATATTAGATACTTATTTTAGAAGATACAGAGGAAAAATCCAAGTCAATATCAGATCCAAGGAATTTTAAAGTTCAACATAATTTAAAACCAGGGAATCATAAAGGGATCTGCAAGAGGAATGGCTCAACTTTGTTTCCATTGAGGAAGATGCAAGACAAGGTACCCAGTAGAGTCCTGGCAGAAATAGCACCAGCACTCAGCAGATTAAAATCAGGTCCACTGTTCTCTTCTTGACTCTGAAAACATATCTCAGGTAGTCAAATTCAGAGGGTGTAAACAGAGGCTTTTCTCTCCTGGCCAGTCCTGCACCTGCTTTTGTAAATAATCACTCAAAGGCTTAACATGAATTACAAACTGTTTGGCCTATTGCTCAGGCTTACTACTAACTAGATCTTACAACTTAAATTAACCTATTGTTACTAATCTATGTTTTGCCACATATCTCATGGCTTTACCTGTATTCTAATACATCTTGTTCCTCTGGCAGCTGGCTGACATCTCCTCCAAACTCTGTGCTTCCTCTGCCTGTATCTCTGCTTGGATTTCTCACCTGCTCTATCCTGTCTTGCTATAGGCCAAAGCAGCTTCTTTACTAACCAATGGTAATAAAACATATTCACAGCATACAGAAAAATATCCCACAGCAGGAGGGACTTTTAAAAATTTATTTTTGAGATGAGGTTTTGCCTATAGGACTGACTGAATTGGTCCTCATCACACAGCCCAGGATGGCTTCAAATCGGCAGCAATCCCCCTGCATCTGTTTCTCGAGCGCTGTAACTACAGGTGTGAGCCAGTAGGCATAGCTAATGTTGGAGTAGTCTGCAAAGGTTGTTTAAGAGCAGGGGAGATAGCTCAGTGGGTAAAGACACTTGCTGCCAAGCCCAATGACCTGAGCTTCCTTCCCAGGGCCAACACGGTGGAAGGAGAGAAGTGATTCCTGTAAGATATCCTCTGGCTCCACACATGCACCACGGCACACAGGAACCCCTCCATACCCACCCCACACAGATAAATAAACAAGTAAAATAATAAATATAATAAAGATCAGAGTTATCTCACTTAAAAGATAACCCTTTGCTTAATAAAAGTCTGAATGTCTGTGGTCGCCATGGCTAGCTCTTTTGTAGGGAAAACAGAAAAACTTTAAAATACTCAATATCAACAAATTTCTTACTTAGGGATGCAAGAAGCAAAAAGTGTATAAACAAGGAAAATGACATAACCCACTATGTACCCCAATAACCTCTTTATCTACATTAATTGATTCACAGCTGCCTTTGACATCTCATTAAAAACAAAAACAAAAACAAGCCAGGGTGCCCTGTAATTATCAATGCACAATTCCTCTGATCCCATTATTATATCATTATTTTATATATATAATATATATAATATAATATCATTAGTAGCAGTATTGTTGTTGCAGTTCTGGGAACAAAACAGTGGGCCTCATCCACAGGAAAGATGCAATGTACCATTGAGTGTTTTCCCAGTCCTTTTTATATTTTTTAATTTTATGACAGGGCCTTATTACATTGTCCAGGCTGATCTTGAACTCACTATGTAGCCCAAGTAATACCTAACCTTGGAATCCTCCTGCCTCAGCCTTTTAAATAGCTGAGATTTCAGGCCTGTGCGAACAGGTCCAGTTCCTGCCTATATTAATGTGGGTAATTCATACAGATGATGAAATGAACCTTGACATGAAAATGATTTACTACTATATTCACCCAGTGCCAATTTATAAAGTATTTGCTTTTATATGCTATTTTAAAATAAGAATTCAGACTGTAGTATGCCTATTAGGAAAGTACTACAGGAAATATTTAACCCAATGACTCATATGGATGCTTTACAATCTTAAAATGCTGATAAACTATTTGGTCAAAAGAATAATGCTGGGTTTAGAGAAAAAAAAAAAAAAAGGATGTAGCTCAGTGGCAGAGGATCTACCTAGCACACACAAGGCTGAATTCAATCATAGATCCCACCAAAAAATAAAACCCAAGCACACACACATACACTGCCACTACCACCAAAGACAAGCACACTGAATTCCCAGATAGTTCTGTATGTTCTCAGATTTAGCTGTTCTATTCTAGTGCTATCTAAATTGAGAAATAAACCAATTAAAATTTCACAAGTATCCAAATTCCTGGCTTCTCTGTGCATAGCCACCATTTTGCATAAATCCATATGTAAGTTATTTTGTGTGACCTTGTTCTCAGTTTGTTGGTTTTAAAAATGACCCATGGTGACTTCCACAACAGTATTTTAAATACTGCATACATACACACACACATATATATGCATACACATACACACACACACATATATGTAACTGTATGCGTTTACTAATACCTACTGTTTTCCCTTGGCACTCTGAGTTAGATGAAACATTGGCTGCGGCATGAATATAACCAGAGAGCAGTCTCAATACAAAAGATTCCATAACTGCTAAGTACTGGACAGGAATTCTTCATTCTGACATGACAGTTGCCATCATCGGCACAGCGGCTCTGATGATCTAGCAAAGACCTCAGCCTGCAGACCTACACAGCAGACAGTTAGTGGGCCTGTGAAAGTAGAACCCACTTGCTTGAGGGAAAGAGTCACAAGACTGCCATAATACCTCTGGACCCTCTCCGGAGATTTCAACTGCTACTCCCTCCTGTTCATATAGATATAATCTTAAAAATATTAAAGAATGTAGGAGGTGGAAACTCAACGGGGATGGGACCTTTTGGCGGTGTAGCTGTTCATGGGCCACTTGGGCTCCTGCAACCCCACCATGTTCATTTACCTCTCCATGGTAGCTTCATAAGTTCTTTTTTTTTAAGTTTCTGAGCTCCCTATCTGAGGTAAACAGACATTTCTCGTCTGTCTCCCCAGGAAAGTCATGTAACAGTCCACCAGAAGCATTTTCAGTAGGGTTCAGAGGTAGAATACTTGACTACTGTGTGTGAGGTCCTGGTTCAATTCCTGATCCAAAGAAAATTTCAAACTAATGAAAACACTTAAAGTCAACTTTGTAGCCAGATATGATGGCATATGTCTGTGTTCCCAGAATTTAGAGGCAGCGGTGGCAAAAT